CATCCATGCATCCATCCATGCATCCAACCATCCATGCATCCATCCATCTGTCCATCCATCTGTCCATCCATGCATCCACTCATCCCTCCACCAGTCAATCCATCCCTTCCTTCACCCATCCACTCTAACTTCCATATTTTTTTTGGAGCATACCCTCTATTGGGTTCGATAACAGTAGCTCCCTCATACGATTCTTCTCCTGCATCTACTTTATGGGCTGGAATCAGGAGATCTTGTTCTTTGGTCTGTGAATGAGACATGAAAGTGAATAATCAACAATCAACTCCTATCTTAGCCATTTTTCTTGAACCTACCTTTCTCAGAAGCTGAGAGATGACTTTAATCTGCTGACCACGAGAGAGCAGGTAGCTGAAGGGAACACCAGTCACACGAGCCATCTCCATGTAGTTAATAACGCACATTAGTTTATCGAGAAGCCGCAGAGGTAAGATGGCATCCTTCATACAGTATATGGCTAGTCTACGACGAGTCTGGTCATTGCCATGCTAAGAAAATCATGATGTTAAAATTAGTAAGATATGGTGAATAAGGATGGAAGGAAGGAAGGAAGGAAGGAAGGAAGGAAGGAAAGAAGGAAGGAAAGAAAGGGTTTCAGAAGTAAGGAAAGAAGCAAGAAAGGGATAGTATGAGAAACAGATGAAGGGAAGAAAGGTTGGAAGAAAGGGATAAAGCAAGCAAGGAAAGAATGAAGAATGCAAGTATGAATAGAAAGATCAAGGAATTTGCAGATAAATTGAAGAGGGGATAATTAGTGGAATGACCCTGTACCCTACCTGAAGATCAGATATGATATTATGCTGTACATCTTCCTTCTGCTCTTGCAAGAAGTGAAAACTGACAGCATTGAGAGTATATGACCTCAGCTTGTATTCACGCAGCAGAATATGAAGTAAATCAAACTGAATTCTTCCAGCAATGTTGATGACTTTATTCTCTCGCTTTCCGTACGCCTTGGACTGAAATGTGGTAGTGGTTATGGTGCTTCTATCCTCTGTTATTCGTCCAAGAAAAGGGAAGGTGCTGACCTTGAGGGTTGCTGCTCTGTTTATCAAGTACGGCAAATCGAAATTGACGATATTATAACCGGTGATTAAATCTGGGTCTACTTCTTGTACAAACTCACTCCAACTCTGGTTCAATTAGAAAAAATGCAGAAAAAAACGATGAAGTTAGTTGATTAGTTTTATGACTGAATACTGCATTTGATAAACATAATGCATTGTGGTCTAGCCTGGGTACACACAACAGAACACGATTGAAGTTTGTACCCAAGCTAAACAACAATGCACCATTTTTCACTATCTCACGACACCATATAAGGCATGAGGGACAAAAATATTGGTTCCCAAGCTAGAACAAAAGGGAACAGTTCTAATTACAGTTTCAATTTACCTTTAGAAGTTCAGCTTCCTTATCAAACGACATCACATGAGAACCAACAATAGGAGAACAGCCACCAAGGGTATACACATTTCTAATGAATGGATCTTTCTCTCCTTGCCGTACGACCATGTTGGCTATCTGAATGACAGGGTCTTTTTCTGGCTCTGGGAAAACTCCCTTACGGCCTGCACACTCAATATCGAAGCTGAGAATACGGACAGGAGCAATCTTGGACCATTCACCTTTAGAAAAAAATGAAATAAATAATGGGATGAGATGGGAAGAATAAGGCAGGGAAAAAAACTGGATGGATTAGGTTGATTGAATGGACAAAAGGAAATAATAGAATGGGATGCAATGGAATGAGATGGGACAGAATCAGATATTGGTTGAATAAAAGTATAAAATTGGATGGAATGAAATTGTGGAACATGGCAATGAAATACTCCAGTTTCGAGTTCCTGGTTGCTCAGGTTAGTCTCGGCTTTGTGCAGAATATTCAAGTGTTGCACTTAAGGTCTGTGGATTTTCAAAGTGTTCATATTCTTGAAGTCGTGCATTCCTTATCTTACTATTGGTATTTGTGAATATTTAGACACTGATGTGAGGTTAACCCTGAGTAAATGAGTCTATAATCAAGGAACATAGTGGTATTTTGGAGTTTGAAAAAGGTCTATCAAATGCAAAGAGGTTGGACTAATGAATAATGGCTAGTGATACCTTCTGGAGGATGACTGGTAATCTCATCCCAGGCCACATCAATCTCAATTTGACATCGAGATGTGGGCTTTTCATCACTGACACATGAAGTCATGTGCGGCGCACGGACCCTGTACTTCCCAGCAGGCACTTCAATCCAATTGCACCCAACAACATCAGAATCAACCATGTAACGAACCTGTTAATTGAAAAAAAATTTACATTTTATAAATGCATCCTTGTTCAGGGAGCTGGGGAAGATAAGTGGGACTAGTAATGTTTTTAGTAAGTTGGCCTTACCTCAAAGTCAATGTTACTTTCATACGTTGAGTAGCCTCGCTCGGGATATGATCCAAACTTGAATCCACATTCAAGAATTCTCTTACAGGGTGCAATTAGCTTTTGTAATGCCACAGTAACGCGCAGGAATGGGATCTTCTTGTTACCATGAAAACCATAGATGCTCTCTTTTATCACACAGTCAACTGCAAGAACAGCCTGGGTGAAAGAATTATACCCTGTAAATAATATGGACTAACCTTTTACTAAATGACCCACGCTCCCTCCCACCGTTTCATAATTTGTACTAACCCCACCCCACCCCCCATCACCAATCTTGTTATGAATGGTCCATTTTTAATTACAAGCTTTGGTTGTTTTTCAAAGATTGATTTATTCATAACCAAATGATCAAATAAAATGACATTTTTCCATGTGCTTATGCTGACACAGGTATCCCAGAGAGATCTTTCAAGCTGGGCGTCATCTTTGGCTTTGCAAAACAAGAGTAGCCAAGGCGTAGAGGGAAAAATACTTTGTTTAATGAGCAGAACATTTCTGGTCTCTTCCAGCATCATGGAAAATGGAAAGGATGACATTTATTTAAAGCCATAAAACTTGATTTGAAGTAATGAGTCTTTTTTATGGAAGCTAAATTATTGCCCTCGACTGAGAAAACCTACGGCGAATTCCCCTTACTCACCTGTGAAACATTATCCTTGTTGGATCTCATATCACACAATACTGTTCTATTGAGCGCATCTCTAAACATGTCACACTGGTCCTCTGTGAATCCTGGAGGTGCTGGTACGAAGAGGTACGGCACGAACCCATGGATGTGGCAGAGGACGCTGTTACCTTCCATGGTAACGCCAAACATACGGATGATTGGTACTGGACCAACTTTTGATCCTGGCATACCAGCCATTGGAGAACCTGCCAGATAAAAAGTAATATAGTCCAAAAAATAGTTAATTTTATATTGATACTCTGTAACACCCTTTGAGCTGATCTAAGTTAGGGCACTGCTAACACATAAATCAAACCCTGAAACAATCTCTGGGCTGATCTATGTCATGGCAAAGCTAACTTATAAATCAAACCCTGAGACAATTCATGGGCTGATCTAAAGGCCGGTTTAGACGGTATGATTTTCGCCTACAACTATCGTATACAACACGCTTGCGCCATCCTACAACTCAAGTTGTAGTGTGTAAATCAAGCCTACAACTCGCCTACGACAGATGCGAGCGTGTTGTATACGATAGTTGTAGGCAAAAATCGTACTGTCTAAACCAGCCTTAAGTCATGGCACAGCTAACTCTCAGATCAAATTGAAATTTGGCTTGTTGGGTTTTGTGAAGGGATGAAAACTGGAGAATTCAGGGGGAAAAAAAAAACAAGAAAAATCAAGAATAAAGGAAAAGACCTAACGAACTCTAATTACATGCGATGGCAAGTCCAAAAATTGAACCCGAGACCCCAGAAGTGAAAAAAAACAACAAATGCTTTCGCTGGCAACGTGGTTTCAATGAATCAATATGATTATGAAGCTTGATTGTATGATATTTTCAACAAACGTTGAGCAAATTTAAAGCATGCTATTAAGTCGAAGAACTGCGATGAGGAAGTAGATAGCTAGGAAAAACAATTCTCATAAACATTTCAGCGTTTTTGGCAGCTACTTAATTAACTATTGATATTAGCTGACACATAAAAGAGTTCCTTTTCAGCAAGGAAAAAAAACATTACCAAAATATTTATTAACCCAATTACTGTTAAACCTTCAGAATCTTCAAATTTTTTTTGATATGCAACAAAATCCGCTGGGCTGATCTAAGTCGGGGCACATGGATAACTTACAGATCAAACCCTGAAACAACCTCTAGGCTGATCTAAGTCAGGGCACGGCTAACTCACAGAACGAACTCTAAAACAACCTCTGGGCTGATCTAAGTCAGGGCATGACTAACTCACAGATAGAACCCTGAAACAACCTCTGCGCTGATCTAAGTCAGGGCATGGCTAACTCACAGATTGAACCCTGAAACAACCTCTGGGCTGATCTAAGTCAGGGCATGACTAACTCACAGATAGAACCCTGAAACAACCTCTAGGCTGATCTAAGTCAGGGCATGGCTAACTCACAGGACGAACTCTAAAACAACCTCTGAGCTGATCAAAGTCAAGTCATAGCTAAATCACAGTTCAAATTGGAATTTAGCTCGTTAGGTTTTGTGAGAAGGAACCCTTGAATCAAGGGAGAGACGTATTCTGGAAGTGAAACCAAGTCTAGGAATTGAACCCAAAATCCTAGAGATGGTATGCGAGTGCACGGCAGCTATGCCATCCTACATTTCCTAACAAACAACTCTACTCACACGTGATGGCAAGACCAACTTACTATATGAAACCCATGACTACAGCAGTGAGAAACAGTGCATTAGCAGAGGAAACCAACATATCTTACTTGTTCCGATTCAGGGTTTTTTCCTGCCAGCCCTGAATTCCTTACTAGATCTTCTACTGAACGCAACCTTGTTTTTTTGACAGCAAACATGATTACCTTATGAAAACCACACTATATCTACAAAACGCCTTCTTTAAATTTATTTCACAGTCAAAATGAAAGCCAAATTCAATTAAACCCTCTTTATAAGAATTAGTCAAAGGTTTTTCCCCTAAATGGGTGATATTTTAAAAGTAGAATGATATAGAAAACTTGCTATTTGCAATTCAATTACAAACTGCAATCAAAGCTGATGTGCTGACACATGGCCAATGCAACACTAAACACCACCTTGTTTGTAACTCATAAGGTTAGTTCTCACGCATTTGGTGGAAAAATGACGTACAACTTTGGAAAAACAGCCCAAAAACGTAACACAAACCCTATCTCTTTGTCCTCTTTCCTCGTATCTAACAATAAATTAAAATAAAAAAATTTGTACACTTCTAATAAGAATGTATTCCAATGTTAATTAGTGGTATTAAATGTTAGTTCTTTTTTAACTTGATTTTTTCTTACCAACGTAATTTTCCACATCAAGTTGTTGGAAGACAATAGAATCCTGTTTAGGGTCTATACTAGGTACAGGGGGTCTTTTCCATTTTGCTTTAGGATTGCCTCTATTGCTATCCTTTGTCGTATCAGTGTCTTGAAGCGATGCAAGTTCATTTTCGAATCGACTTGGTTGAACTCCCTTGAAATCATCGTCATTACGAGATCGTTTAGACGAGCTGGCTTCATCGAAGTCTACCTTACGCTTCTGGCTATTATCCATTTGGACTTCAAACGATAATATCCACAATCGTAGCTGTAATATGGACTACTTCACTTAGGATGGAAATTAGAATGTTTTGCTAATCGAAAATGGCGGGAAACTCAAAGGATTAATGGAAATAACCGCTGACTTAATATTGCTGACGCGCATTTGTGACACAGGAAACCCATAACATAGTTTTACGCACCGTTTGGACCCTGTGCGCACCTTTTGGCTTTATTTTTTATCATGCGCGGAATTTCAGCCTCGGCTCGGAACGGAACTGTATGTAAAATGGAGTATTTAAACCCAAAACCCAAGGCATGAATGAACTACATAAATGTAAATTGTAGAGGTATTTGAAATGCGCTATATAAGAAACTCCCATTATTATCATTACACAGCGCCACCCATAAAAATAAATCTGCAAAGATACACTTTATCACTTTCCAGTTTGTTTTATTAATAAAATCGATTTGCTAGTTTGTTTTGTTTACAAGGTTTCATATACTCTTCTTACAGTTTGCAACGGCAATAGCGTAATGCACTTGCAGGCCAGTTATACCGTTTATAAATACGTTAAAAAGATAGAAAATAAATATCAAAAAGGATTATTTATCAAATAATTATTCTGTATGAATGTAGAAAAAGTCAGAGAACTGGTTCAAGAACAACTTGAACGCCAATTTTATTAGCTCAGAATCGTTAGTTTATTCTTCAGTTAAACGGATTTTGTTCGTGAGAAACGTATGGTATGACACTCAGATGGCTTTCTCTTCCAACCAATTAAAAAGCCACGTGCATAAGTGACATTTGAATGGTTTCCTTTATGCAATCAGACCAAGAAAACCCTATATGTGCTATAGCTACACTTAAATGGTTTCATCTTTTAGCCAAACGCAAAGCAAGAAAACCTTACCTGTGTAATGGTGAGAGTGAAGTGGTTTGCCTCTCAGCCAATCACGAGACAACAAAACCCAATTGTTTTCATCACCATACTTAAGCGCAACATACCAGGAAACGTTTCTCGCACACAAAATCCGTTCGTTTTCACGTAAGAAAATGTAAAACGGTAACCAAAGAAAAGAGGTAAAATGAGGGGGAAAAGCTTATTTTATCAAATTTATGAGAAACGAGAAAATCTTCCGGTGAAAACACTAATCAAGATTTGAAAAATCGGGGGTTATGCTAATAAAATTTGTTGAAAAAATTTGACGAAGCTAAAAATCTCCCTGAACATCCAAAAGACAACTGATACAAACGATCTACGTTGAAGTAGCAAGATTTAACATTGGTAAACGAAGATATATTGTCATATCACGTTACAGATAGATTTAATAATGTCAATATATTTGTTAACTATTAGAATAATAAGACAAAAAGATGCTTTCTCGATAATAAATATATCTATGATTGACGTCTTGGTATCAAAGGGATGTCAACTTGATGTTAACTGAATCGCGGAATCTTGGATGGCGTCACATCTGAAATGCAATAAACAAAGATTTTGAAAATGTCGTAGAAAACCACTAAAGTGTCAAGAAAATAAATTCACTGCTGGTGGGAGGTCAATTAACTGTAAAATGGAACGAATTTTAGGTATAAGCAAATTAACACAACGCAAGGAATAAATTTATCTCGAGGGAGTAATATTTTGTAGATGCCACAATGAAAACACCTTAAAAGGTAAAAAAGAATCGTACGTAAAACCACCAAAGACGTCATGGAATCTTCCTGCACGGAAATGCAGCTGATAAGCTGATAATTTTCTGAATTGCGGTAAATGACAATGAAAAACGTCCTACCTTCTGACATGGAATTAGGAAAGTCTCCATTTCGCATACGATTTCCATACATGGCCTGTAAAAGCTGTTGCTGTTGTTGCTGTTGATGTAGCATCACGTTGCTAGGGTAGCCCATCACGTGCATACCATCACCACCAATCACAGAGCTTCGAGTTGACGCTATCCGTTCCTGTTGTCGACGTTGTTCTAACAGGTACAACTGTTCCCGTGAGGGGTACCCTGGCTGTTCTCTGTATTGCATGGCATCTAAATCAACGAACTGACTATCGGGAGCTCTCTTGCCCGTCATCTGTAAAGCTCGCTGTCGTTCTATACCCGCCATCTCCTGACCTTGGGACCTAAACGCTAAAGTGGGCATAGACTCAGGTCCCATTTTGCCTTGGTACATGCTGTAAGGGTTCATCTGTTTGGCAAATGACCCATATATCTGAGCTTCACTTCGATCTCTTAAGTAGTTTCTAGTCATGAAATCTTCGTGTGCTTGATTCATCCCACTAAGGGCGAGTCCTGCTCGAGTACCTTGGGACTCAAAGGGACCTTTCTTGACGGGGCTCTCTCGAGATGGAGCTATTTCCTTTAAGAGGGACGTGAATGGTAAACTCTGGCTTCCTTGACTCAGCGGGTTTGCAGCCAATTCTACGTCCTTAGATATGGGTGGCTTTCCATTAAATAGCTCTTCAAGGAAGCCCCTTGGACGTCCAGATCCAACATTAGGGCTGCCTTGTCTTGGTGATGCTTGTGAAGGACCTTGTTCAAGGGGCCAGCTCTTGTACCCGGGAGGACATTCCTGATTACTGCCTTGCGATTGTCTGGGTGATTCTACAGCAGGGGACGATCGATTAGAATCACTTTTACCTTTTATATCCTCTAGACGTTTTCGATCAGATACTAAGGGTGGTGGGGATCGTCTCGATGCTGTTATCACAGGAGGTTTATTCTCGGATGATCGCGGCGAGTCTGCTGAGGTGTCCCTAGGGGAGGTACCTAATATCTGACTTATTGACAGCCCAACGCCTTTAGGTTTAGAAGTCTGGTCCCTTGTTTCGTTAGTGACCACATTTGGTGGGGTGGGTGTGTTCTGTGACCTTGAATCTGATTGGCTGAGTTTTTTGACTGTCTCTCGTTTTGGTTTTGAATTGTTTTGTTCATCTGTATCCTTTGGTTTATCTGGGGCAAAAGAGGAACTATCAGTAACAACTAACATCATGTATCACCATCATCATCATGTATCATCA